TATTAAAACATCTTGAAAATATTCCCTACCCTACCCCACCCTCCCCTACTCGTTTCGTCATAATAAACTCAATCTGCGATTGGAACAATACACAAATTATTGATGATGATTAAACAAGTAAACTACAGACATTCAGAATGTGTATTTAGTAAAATTATATACAAATTACATCGTATAAAAAAGAGAACGTTAATTAACGTTCGTATAAGAATGTTAAGATCTACGCAGGTCTAAATTACAATATCACATGCAGTATACCTACAGACGTTTAAAAAGATCAAAAGAATCAAACAACTTACATCTTTAGTATTCTAATTACATAATGATGTTCTACGGTAAACTCTCCAGATTTCAGAAATTTTTCATCGACTCTAATAAAAAAACTCAGTCATCACAAGTACATACTGTATCAAGAGGATTAAGCCCCTGGGGACCCTTTCCACGTAATGTTTTACTTACCTGGTATAAATAATATTATTACAACTACTATTATTTATACCAGTATTTATTATTTAACTAAAATTAAATTATTAAATTAAAAAACTAATTAATAAAATAAAAATTTTTATCAATGATAGTCAATACACTTACGATGAGATACATTTGTTAATAATAATGTAAAACATAATTAACAGAACAGATGTCTTACTTTGTTTGATCCTTTTGAATTTTATATAAAAATGTATGATTATTAAAAATATTCCCAAAACGGAATTACAATTTATTCATAAATTAGTTAAATTAGTTTTGTTAGGTAATAACATTTTTCTAGGACTTTGTTAAAAGTAAATAGAGAATATATTTTTAAAACCTATTATTTAGTAATTAGTTGCAAGACTTATCTTGAAAAGAAAAAGAAACTGATGTTTATTATCGAATATACAATTATGAGTAACATCAATAATATTTGTATAATATTAATAACAGTTGTTGATAGTTGATATACCAAGCCACAGAAATCTGAAAACTCATAAACAATTTCTTTTATTTTATTAAGCTTTGATATACCTACATACATATCTTGGTAAAAACAATACATGGTTAGAATTTCAGCCATATCAGTTTAGGTGTTTGTTTTATATATATTTTTTAATCTAATTATTAAAAATTTTAAGTTTCAAAAGTTTATTACCGACTATGCCTAGAATATATATCAGAAAAAAACTGAACAAACCTATTCGAAAAAAGTTCAACATTGAGAAACTACAAAATAACGAGACGAAAGTAGAATTCGCACGACAGCTGAGATCCAAAATCGACGAACGACAGGACAAAAATTGGGAAACGATTAGCAAAGCCCTTGTGGAAACAAGTGAAAACGTGCTGGGCCTAAAGAAAGACGTAAAGAAAGAGTTGATTACGAGAGAAACGTGGAACAAAATAGAACGTCGCAAACACATTAATCTAGAATTACTAAATTCCAAGACAGCAGCAGAGAAGAACCGACTTAGAGAAAGTTATAGAGAAGCGAATAAAGCTGTCAAGAAGGCAGCAAAGAAAGACAAAAGAAAGTGGGCAGAAAATCTTGCCGAAGAAGCGCGAGTCGCCGATGAACATCAAAACATGAGACAATTATATAATATCACTAAACAACTAGCCAATAAAAGATATACTACCCACCAACCAATTGTAAAAAGTGCTACAGGTGAAGATATCACAACGCCACAGGAACAAATCAAAAGATGGCATGAATATTTTAGCGAATCTCTAAGTGCAGTCCCAACACCACCAGAAGACGCAGAAAACCTAATACCCAATATCCAACTGAGAATTAACACCAACGAACCAACAACGCAAGAAATAGAAATGGCCATAGAAACTGAAAGCACACAAAGCAGCCGGCCCTGACAATATTCCACCAGAGTTGTTAAAAGCTTGCCCAGGTACAGTGGCAGAGCTAATCCAACCACTCTTGAAAAGGGCTTGGAGAGAGGAAAAGTTCCCCAAAGAATGGAAAACGGGATTAATAATAAAGATACCAAAAAAAGGGTGACAGAAGATATTGCGAAAACTGGAGAGGAATCACACTTCTGAATACTATAAATAAATTAACAGCAATAATTATAAACAACCGACTAACAAACAGTGTAGAACCAATGTTGAGGAAGGAAGAAGCCGGTTTCAGACCAAACAGATCATGCGTGGACCAAATTAACACACTAAGAATAATTGTAGAACAGTCACAGGAATTCAACTCTCCTCTCTTTGTGTGCTTTGTGGACTTCAAGAGAGCTTTTGACACGCTCACACATACGGCCATATGGAAAGCACTGCAGGAAATATGAATACCAGAAAAAATAGTAAATCTCATCAAAGAACTCTACAGTGACACAGAAAGCAAAATCCTACACAACGGCATAACATCTGACCCAATAGCTATGCTAAACGGAGTAAAGCAGGGCTGTGTTTTATCCCCCATACTATTTAACATTGTACTGGACTCCGTACTAACAAAGGTAAACTCTAATAGAGGAATTTACTGGGGATTAACAAACAGACTGGAAGACCTAGATTACGCTGATGATATATGCCTCCTAGCACATACAAAACAGGACATGCAACTCCAAGTAAACAAAGTACAAGAAGAATCAAAGAAGGTTGGTCTAGAAATAAACATCAACAAAACCAAAGAAATGCGATTTGGTACCAGAAACAACCAACCTATTATGATCAACGACCAGAAAATTGAGAGAGTAGCGGAATTTGTATATCTGGGCAGCATAATTGACTGTAATGGGGGTACAGAGCGTGATGTACATGAAAAAATAAATAAGGCTCGCAACGCCTACAACATGCTTAACAACATATGGAAATCCAGGATTTACCCAACGAAAACGAAATTAAAAATCTTCAACACAAATGTAAAAGCTGTATTACTGTATGGCTGCGAAACGTGGAAGATATCAGCACCCATAGTACACCAATTACAAGTTTTCATCAATAGAGCGTTACGAAAAATCCTTCGCATATTTTGGCCTAACTGAATCTCCAATGAAAATTTATGGAACCAAAGCAACCAAGAAAATGTCATAAAGCAAATAAGCGAAGAAAATGGAGATGGCTGGGCCACTCACTCCGTAGAGCGCCAAATGACATTGCCAGGACAGCGCTGGATTGGAATCCCCAAGGCCGACGGAAAGTAGGCAGACCTAAGGGAACTTGGAGAAGGACAGTACTGGACGAAGGGAGAAAAATGGGAAAATCCTGGCTTGAAATCAAAGCACTAGCCAGAAATAGAGTTCGCTGGAGACACTTTGTGGAAGCCCTATGTTCCTCTTAGGAATCTTGGGACTATATGTATATATATATATATATATATATATATATATATATATATAATATATATATATATATATATATATATATATATATATATATATGCCTAGAATATTGGATGTAAGAAACATGGTAAACACAACGATGAGAGAAAAAATTGAGAGAAGTACATTGTCTGATCTCAGGGATGACGAAGAAGGAGCAGGAGGACAGAGGAGGAAATTAAACCATAGATCTGAAATCTTATTTCTTTTTTCTCGAGAGCCAAGAACCAGTATGTACCAAAATTAATTTATGGCTTTAAGGAAATATTTTCATTCTTTTATTTTATTTTGGTAATGAGCAGTTCTTAAGCATTTTTTTTCTGATTCATGGTGACGGGTATGGTTACTTGTAAGTTTTTTGTTAATGTAATATAGTTAGTTGTTTATTAGGTGACAATACCACTACTCTGGAACGGTGTTTAAGGTTTCAGCAGGAACACGGTTCATCTAATACTACCCTGGAGTTTTCTGGCCTACTATCTTATACGACCGAAAGATATCACGCTGCTTTGTGAATTTAGATGTCTAAAAAAGATTTTCCCCACAGCTGCCTGCCATAATTCAATGAATACCTTCTTAAGCTCTTACTGGAATCTGGCCGTACTTTCTTGGAAATTGCGAATAAGTCTTCACAGGATTTTAGATACAGTATTAAGATTTTATCGGGAATGGCATCAAGAAGCTCCAAAACAAAGATCAAGGGGCAAACGGCGGCGCTGAAGAACAACAGAGCCTCAAGATCGTCACCTAAGGTTGATAGCTCTAAGAGATCGCTTTACTATGCAATTCTTGAACAGGCTGAAGTCAATATTTTGCTCTTGTCCTCCAGATACCCACCTGAATACATGTAGGCCATGATGGACCGATTACTTCTTAAAGCATCCCCTCTAATATTTAGGAACACTGCAGGAGGAGTTAATTTGGCATGAATCTTCCAGGAGGTATTGACCACCTAATCAGAAGCGAGTTTAGGCGCATCCAAGTGTGTGTTGCCCACCGAGTTGCGTCAAGATATCGTTAATTGATTTACTCCTGTAGGTTTTTTCAATCATATTGAAATTTTGATCGTTTGTTTGTTTTATTGCCCTGTATAATTGTACAAAATATTTTTAAAATATAATAATTGATAATAATGCATGTTGCGATTTTTATGTCACTTAGTATATATTTTTTAATATTTTCTTATAAAAACGTATTTTTCTCGTTATTTTGATTTTTGTTTTCTGATAATAGAAAGTAAATAAGTAGTTATAAAACTAATACAGTGGTAATTCAAAAATGCAATAAGAGAATGTTTATGAAAAAAATACCTTGATACCTATAAGTAATACTTATAGAGTATTTTAACAGTTTATTCAACTGACCTATGTTTTATAAGCAGAAAAATATAAAGTCTTGCTACTAAATTATAAGTTTACACAACAGTTATTTTAGTAATGTACATCTCTGTAAAAAATATGTTAGAGGTATTCATTTGGAGCGTTATTTATGTCATGCGTTTTTTTCAATAAAATATTTAATTTTTTAAAATCGGTTTTCATCTTTTAATATTTTTTAGTTACTCAATCTACAGGCAGTGCTGCTAGTTTTATATATCCTATCACTACTTTTAATTTTCATCCTATTGGAGGTGGAAGCTTAAAACAGAGACACTAATTGTTTCTTAATTACAATCCCATTTTAGTACCTCCCGTTTTTATCAGAATATTTTCCAGAGAGTTTGCTAACGGAGTACCTATCGCTGTATCTATCGTCCCCATACTTTTCTTCAGCCTTATAATGAATTTCTGGTGAGCCGATAGTTTTTTGCCAATGATGGGTCCAGTAGAGTTCATCTGGATTGACGTCACTTGGTCTTTTGAATTCCCTGCAGATAACCACACAGTAAATCATACTACAAATGAGGGTCAGGAAACCGAATATTAGGAAAATGATCCCTAAAACCCTAAAAAATAAAGTAACAAATATTATGTTCTCTAAAAAGTAGATTACATATAATTTAATAAAATTACTTTAAATGTTTCAAATGTGCGCAAAAGTTCACATCCTTACAACCTGTAATCCTATTAATTTATTTACTAGAATAGGAGTAAAAAAAGTAAACTCGTGTCTGAACTAGATAGAATTTTGCGAATTAATGATCAATGAAAGACAATGCATCATTAACAATCCACAAGCCCCAATACTGGGCTGAGAGTGGTCCGCATATTGTACGCGAATTTCACACAGCATCCTCAAAGATTAAACGTACGGTGTGGTATCCTACGTGATCACATTATCAGACCTTCTGTATCACTGGACACTTAAATGGTGCATCGTATCTTGAATTCTTTAGGCAAGGGGTTGATCGTATTAGAACAATAGAAGAAAATGATGATAACCTTTCTTAAGATTTGGTTGTATTTCAACATGATGGAGCTTCTCCACACTTGGCCACCTAGATCACCGGATTGAACACCCCTAGACTTCTTCTTATGTGGGTATTTAAAAACAAAAATTTATGCTACTCAACCAGAATCTCTAGATGATTTTCTAGAAATTAGAGGAGGGGTGTCGACAATTAAATGCAGACGGGTTAAGCAATGTCAGAGAAGAATTTCAAAATATATTGTACTATTGTATGGAAGTGAAGGGCAGTCATTTTGAATAATTATTGTAAAAATTTTTAGTCGTGAAATGTTCAGTTCATTCTAAAATCTCTGAAATTCTTTTTTTTTTATCAATATAAAGAGGAGAATCCAAATATCAAATAAAAAAGGGGACAGTATTTTAATAAAAATAAAGGGTTGATACGGGGGGTGAAAGGGTGCATTTCCCAGCAACCTGAAATATGATATAATGTCCCCCTCTCCAAATATTACTTGACGTGTTTTTGCGTTTTTCCTAAAAATTAGAAGTTTAAAAGTTATTTAAGGTGGATAGTTTTATCTGAAAAGCACTGTATACATACATTTCATCTCACATTAATAGTTATGGCTTAGCTAGATAATACACCGCGCGGGTGAGGCCGAGTTGGCTGCTTGGTTAATTATCGTTTGGTTGGTTTTTGTTTTTAGTTGTTATTGAACATATATGGTACGAGCCCTAACAACTATATGTTCGAACAACCAGTTATTTTGCAAATAAACTACCAATTTATTGAAATTCTTTAATGACAATTTTTTTAAATTTAAAATATGAAATTTTAATATTGAAATTTTAATATTGAACATTAAATATGATATTGAATATCATATTTAATTTAAATATGAAATAATATTGAAATTTGTTGTTTAATAGCCAAAACATGCTGACAACTAAATATTGGAAGAGAATTTTTGCAATATTAAAATAAATATTAATAATTTGTAACGTCGCCCTTAGATTGCAAAGAGCCTGAACTCTATTAGGGATTGTACCAACTAGGCCATCACAGAATTCAGAGGTGAAACCATCTCATATTTGTTGTAATTTAGCACGTAGTTGTGGTAAAGTACGCTGAGGGTTATTTCTTAGGCTTTGTTTCATTTTGTGTCAAAGTGCCTCTATTGGATTAAGATTTAGGCTGCTAGAAAGATGTGAGAAAACTTTCATGTTATCCCAACCATATTTGGTAGATTTAGCCGTATGGAATGAAGCTCCGTCCTGCGGAAAGATAAAATCTCCGAATAGATATAACTATGCCGCACTTGGTAGAGGCCAAACGTCAAGGATATATTGATATTTAGCTGCGTTTATTATGGCCTCAATAAAATGTAATGTTCCCAACTTTTTTGCAGACATAAAACCCCACCATGATGCCATGTGGAAACTTTCATAACATTTAGCCCAAATGTTACGATCCTTTTTTAGAGTTTCCGTGAACAGTGGTTTTTCTTTGGCCTACTCGAATAAATAAAAACACTGAAAATTTATATTGTAAAGAAGAACCTATCAAACACACATTATAAAAACTAAGACCGCTTTTGTGGATATATTTGCAACAGTATTCTCTGGAAACATTCATTCCAGTTTGTCTATTTCTTCTAACGGTTACTTCTCGCAGTGTATTTCTTCTTCCGGACTTAAACATTCGAATTAAATGCACTCCTTTAAGAAACAGCTTTAGGATGGCCTGAGCTTTTTCTCAATCAATACTGTCAGTTTCACCACATTTATTAATTATATTAAATAATGTAGTTCTTGCTACAGTCAATTCATTGGAAATTTCACGCAGTGTTTTCCCTTCATCGTACTGATAATTAATAATTTCTCGAACTTTTGGATCAGTAGGGTTTCCACGTTCCATTATTATATTTACTCATAATAAAACTGACAGTTTATTCATACTCAAATGAGCGATGGCAATTATTGTTGACAACGCACTACCTACTCGTATATTTGATTTCAAAGCCTTCTTTGTGTCAGGCAGATAAAATTTAAGATACGTAAGGAAAAACAAAACATGTTCCAACATTTAGTTGTCAGCAGTTTTTGATTATCAAACAATTAATTACATAGTATTCAATATCAAATATATACTTAAGCCGCAAAAATAATTCCATACATCATAAAAATGTTGTTAATTTCATATTTACAATTAAAAAAATTTAAATAAAATAATTTCGGTAAATTGCCATTATATTCAGGATGTAAAGGGTAGAGATGCGCAACATATAGCCTCTCCTATTCAAATGTCAACCTCACCTGCCCGTGTAATGGTCTGATCCTGACCATTCGGTGCATCCTGCCAGATAAAAAACGAGGCTCTGACGTCCGAGAGATTGCCGGTATAAGCAATCCCCCCATTTACTGGCCAACGGCTTTGGGCGGATGAGCTGATAAGTGGAAGGGCACCTTTTTGTACTGAGATTGGTAAATCGGTCTCGAATGCGAATGAACCTATTAACAACGTAACAGTCAACGGCATAAAGATGCAGAAGGCAACGGGGAACCACTGCATTAAAGACTCGGAGAGTACCCCTAGTATAATTAACATGGCTACGACAAATCATAGAAACCATATTACTGATCATGGAATTCGGATACCAAGATCCGGCAGAGAAGAACAATCACAAGAGAGCAAGGCCTTCTCGGTCGCCAGCAGAAGAAATCCTTGCCATTATAATGGAAAGATAAACCTCACTATCTGCACATGGAATGTTAAAACATTATATGAGGCAGGCAAGACTCATAATGCAATCAAGGAGATGGATAGACTATCAATAGACATAATGGGAATAAGTGAGATGAGATGGACGAACTCTGGGCAATGTAAAATTAATGATCATCATATATATTACTCAGTTAACCCTAACGGAAGACACAAAAATGGGGTAGGTATAATCTCAAATCAAGAAACTGACAGATATGTTAAAAACTTTGTACCTATATCGGAAAGAATACTCCTCCTTCAACTTAATACCTACCCAATTACATCTAACATTATCCAGGTATATGCCCCTACAGCTGACAAACCGGACGAGATAAGTGAAGCATTTTATAACGAACTATCGAACACCTTAGAACGCCTCCCCAAAAAGGATTTAACTTTGATTATGGGTGATCTAAATGCCAAAATTGGTAGGGGACAATCGGGAGAATTTGTAGCAGAAGAAGAGTATGTGATTACTAACACTTACTTCAAACTCCCACACAGAAGATTATACACATGGAAATCACCTCAAGATACTCCAGGCCGCATAGTGAGAAATCAAATAGATTACATTCTGATTAATAAAAGATTCCGGAACAGCATAACATCAGTCAAAACATACCCAGGAGCTGATATCAAATCAGACCATAACCCACTGACTGGCAAAATTAGGCTTAGGCTAAAGAAGGTTAGATGTAGTGTCAATCCAAAATTCGGTATATACAGAACAATTTGAATACCGTTATTCAATCGGATGTAATGGACCAGGAGCTAGAAAAGTTACATACAGTTTCAAAAGACATACGAAAGAAATTTCTCAAACCATCAAAAATTAAAAAGAAATCGTGGATGACATATGAGATTCTAGATATGATGGAAGAGAGGCGAAAGTTCAAAAATCAAGACATGTCATTATACAAAAGAATCGATAACAAGATCAAAAAAGCTATTAGAATAGTTAAGGATACACATTTAAGAAACCAGTGTTCGAAAATACAGCAATTGCAACATAAACACGATACATTTAATATGCACAAAAAAGTTAAAGAAGCCGCAGGCTTATACAAACCACTGTTAACTGTGGAAGAAAAACTAGACACTTGGAAGAATTATGTGGAAGATATTTTTGCAGATGAAAGGCAGACTACCATTGAAGACACTGAATCCCAAACAGGACCCCCGATTACCATTGAAGAAGTCACGTCAGCTATTAAAAGAACTAAAGATGGTAAAGCGGTAGGACCTGACGAGTTTTGTGCAGAATTCCTTAAACTTATGGATGAACAGGGAATAAAATGGATAACAACTGTATTCAACAACATATACGTAACTGGAAAAATACCTCAAAGCTGGTTAAAGTCGACCTTCGTGGCCATACCAAAAAAAGTAAATGCCAAGACATGCGAAGACTACAGAACAATTAGCCTAATGAGCCACTTACTTAAAACGTTCTTGAAAGTGATACACGGCAGAATATATAAAAAATGCGAAGAACAAGTATCATGGACGCAGTTTGGATTCCGTGATTCCTTAGGGACCCGAGAGGCTCTATTCGCTGTCCAAGTACTTATGCAAAGATGCAGGGATGTTAACTGCGATGTGTATATTTGTTTTATCGACTACAAAAAGGCATTTGATAGAGTAAAACATGATGAACTTATAAACATCTTGAAAGAAGTGGGGTTAGATGATAGGGACTTGAGAATCATCTATAATTTATATTACAAGCAAACAGCCAATATTAAAGTGGATGATCAATTGACAGAGGCAGTCTCCATAAATAGAGGAGTGAGGCAAGGATGCATTCCGTCCCCGGTGTTATTTAATATGTACTCTGAATATATCTTCGAGCAAGCGCTGGGACCACTACAAGAAGGCGTATTAGTCAACGGAATGCGTCTAAACAACATTAGATATGCCGACGACGCAGTAGTTTTTGCAGATAGTCTGAACGTTTTGCCAAGAATAATATCGGGTATATCAGATATAAGTAGAGAACACGGACTTGATCTTAATACGAAGAAAACAAAGTACATGGTAGTCAGTAAGCCCGAAATATTAAATACACAGATTTTGGTTAACCAACATCCAATTGACAGAGTGGACAGCTACACATACCTTGGTACCAACATTAACAGCCAATGGGATCACTCCAGTGAAATAAAACAACGCATAGAAAAAGCGAGATCAGCGTTTATAATGATGAAGTCTCTTTTCAGAAGTCATGATTTACCACTTGCTACAAAAATCTCTCTCATTAGATGCTATGTATTTTCTACCTTATTATACGGAGTAGAGGCCTGGACACTTTCCGAAGCTTCCTTTAGAAAACTCGAGGCATTCGAGATGTGGTGATACAGACGTATCTTAAGAATTTCATGGGTGGATCGTGTGACTAATGTTGAGGTCCTACGTAGAATAGGCAAGGAATGCGAGATTATTAACACCATCAAAGAGCGCAAACTAGAATATCTTGGCCATGTTATAAGGAATGAACAGAGATACGGCTTGTTGCAACTCATTTTTAAGGGCAACATTTTGATCGCCAACATCCGGAACGGATAGGCAGCGTAAGAAGAAGCCATTATGTTCGCAAAATAACTGCTTGTTCCAACATATAGTTGTTAGGGCTCGTATTATAAAATATTGTTTGACGTAGGTATTGTAAAGTTTAAGATATAACATTTCGGAAATCCTGGATCTATTTAAATGGTTTGGTTATTATTAAAATCCCCGTCATCTTATCAATACTCCTTATAAAACATATACAACATTCTTATAATTAAACTGCGGTAATTTTGTAAGCATGTTAATTAAAAAAATATATATAAACTAAAGTACTTACCAAACATAAAGCGGATCATAAAACTGTATGACTATGACCATTCCCAAGGTTACTAAAATTATTCCAAGATTGAGTAAGAGCATCAAACAGCACATCCCTTTAATATTTGGGCAAAAGGGATTGGGGGCAGCCATTGCTTCCATTCGCATTCCGGCTTTTCGAGAACCTCTGGATTTGGCCGTACTGGTTACTGATGGTGCAATGCCACTTCTGTAAGACATGTGACTGGGGGCGCGTATTCGAGAATTTCGGCTAAAAAAAATGTAACGTTGTTTAAAAGTATCTTTATATATGAGACGGATTTTAGAGCGATTTTATTTTAACCTCTACATGGTCAACTAAAATATTTTTGCATAAAGAGTCAGGAGACTACAAACTACAATTTAAAAGTTATGCAAAATTGCAGATTGAAGAAAAACCATGATTTTTAAAATATTTTTTACGGTAACTACTATAGTGTATTTTTATGTATGAGAGAGTAATAAAACAATAAATTATGTATGCAAATCCCTAAACTGTTGATACGGGTGACTTAATGAAAAACAGATATTTATCAACAAGTTTACAGAAGTATATAGGAAAACAATTTTAAATTGAGTATGACCACCAGGTATAAAGGTTGGAGCAGAATAGAATACAATAGTTGTGAGGGTTACTAATCCCTAAATAAGGTTGCCAGTGTCGGAGTGATGGAGGTTAACAGGTACTAATGAATTTGCAAGAAATATAAGATGTTTATTTTATTGGTTATATATAACCAATAAAAGTTTAATAAGTACCTACCTATTTGCAAAATAAAGTTTAATTCTTTAGATACAATAAAACGTTTTATTTTATCTGAAATGAGCGCATTCCACGAAGTAAGGGTTTCAACAATCAAACATTTAATTCTTTAATTCCAGGAATCTACGACAGTAATTGACTAGATAATTACCTTCTAAACTTATTCCACAGAAAATGTGATAGTGGGTTTTTCCATTTTGTAGGAAGGTCCAAGTGGCGTATTTAAAATTCTTAACAGTTCACTAAAAGTAGGTACTTCAGTTGCAAGGTGCAGTTTATTGTGTATACTAGTGTTATGGAAAATTTGGAAGTGCGGTGTAAACGCCGAAAAATTGGTCCTTTAACAGTTAATGAAAAAACATTAATATTCAATTGTTTTAAATCATTTACAGACAAACGTTTATGTGAAAGTGTTGATGAGGCCGTTGAGTTAATAAGCAGTACACTTGGTATTGGGAAATCTACGATTTACAGAGTTATTAAAGAAGAGAAATGTGGTAGTTTTCAAATGCCACGTAATGCTCCAGGGAAACCAAAATTTCAAATAGAATATCATTTTAAAGAAGGACTTCGACGGAAAGTGCATGAATTCTTCTTTAGACAAGAATTTCCAACATTGGATAAAGTTCTTGTCTCAGTTCGAGATGATAAGGATTACCCAGAAATGAGTCGAAGTACGTTATGGAAACTTTTAAAAGAAATAGGCTTCCGCTGGAAAAAGAATCCCACAAAGAAATTTTATTATATCTTATAGAAATAATCTATTTTATTAGAAAGAAGCGATATTGTCATATGGAGAAGACATTTTCTAAGAACCATAAAGGAAATGAGAAACCAAAAAAGAAAAATATTTTATCTTGATGAAACATGGATCAACGAGGGTCATACACCAAATAAATTTTGGCAGGATGAAACTGTTACAAGTCAATTATAAATCTTGGTTCTGAAAGTTCATCTTCTGAATCTGATTTGCATTTGTAACAAGTAGCTGTAAGTTTTATATTAATATTTTTATTCATCTATTTAACATACCTTAGACGGTTTTAAAAAGTCTTTTTCTCTTTTGTAATTTTTAAAAATTAAAAAAAATGTGAATTTTTTAAAACCCTTTTTAATGTAGGCCAGTCAGTTCTAATATAGTGTGTGATAAAAGAGGTCACTTTTGTTTACATACACATAACACTTTATAACACTGAAATAATTCATTTATTTTTTACAATTATTCAAAGTAATTTTTCAATTAATCTTGAGCACGTCCATGGAGTGGTCGGAGGTACCACTTAAAATTATGCTAATTACTCTCTCGTTCATAAAAATAAACTATAATAAATATGATTTCAAGTATCGACGTCATTGGCCGAAATACAATTAGAGTCAAATGCAAAGATTATAAAACTGATAACAACCTCATCAAAATTAAAACTAGAAATATTTCGTTTAAATAATTTAGATTTGTATATTTCAAAATCTATTTTACACAGACAAATATTTATTAGGGATATAGATACAGATTTATAGGCAGAGTATATTAAAAATAGAATTAAATAGTATAATAGTCATTGCATATTTGTAATTGCAAACCTTTAAAGAATTACGCGTAAAGTAGAAAAAATTGTTAATAAGGAAATGTAAGGAAATGTAAGAGTCAGCCAAGATATAACAGAAGCCAAGAAACTCATAATTCAAAGGATTGTACAAAAGATGAGTTCATACAAGTATGTTTCAGTTGTAATGAGAATCATTTGACCACAAATTTAAGCGCGTGCCCAGAATTCACACAACAAAAGTTAATAAAAGAGACTATGGATTTGACAAACATTAATTCTTATGATGCAAATAAACAAGTGCCTAAAAATTCATATGCTAGTATTCTTAGGACCAATACAGCCAACAATGTTACCAATTCTCTACAAAATTCACAACCTTCTACTCAAATTCTCTACAAAATTCACAACCTTCTACTTCCTTCCAGGGAAATAATTTTGCTAAATTTATATTTAATCCTCACACAAACACTATTAGGCCGAATAAAAGGCTAAAACCAAATAATTCAGAGCCAACTGATATAATTCAATTAAACAAAATAATTTTAATATTTTAAAAGCTGATGTAATTTAGATAATTAGTAACTATTTTAACCAAAATCTAGCATCAAATTCGCAGACTTAAATAAAATAAACCTATTACATTGGAACTGTCTTTCAGCAGTTGCTAATAAAGAGAATTTAGAATATATACTTCATCAAAACGACATCGCTATAGTTATATTATCTGAAACCTGGTTCAATCCGGGAAAATATTATAATTTTAAAGAATTTAATTGTGTCCGAGCTGACCGCTGTGATGGATATGGCGTTTGTACCATCCTTTTAAAATGTAACATAAATGTAAAGAAATAAATTTTTTAAACACTTATTCGTTTACATATAAGTGTATTTTACTAAAAATTGCACATTTCAAGAAACCTTTACATATAATTTCTCTATGTAGTAAACCCAGGAACAAAGTTTTAATTCAACAATGGATCAATTTTTGGATGTATACCAATACTTTGGAAACAATGAAAATACCATTAACCTACGAAGAATTGTTGACAAATATAAACCAGGCTAACGTCGCTATCCCAAAACATTCTTCCATTAAAAAAAAACAAAGGTCATATTCCGAAACCTTGGTGGAATAATCATTGTCATGTTAATTAGGGATGGGAAAAACCTACCGGTTTTAACCGAAAACCGGTTTTTTTACTTCGCAATAACCGGTTTTATCGGTTGTTTTTGTGTCCCGGTTATAACCGGTTTTTTATTTTTAAAGTAAAAACCGGTTATTAGGTTATGAGGTTTGTTTCGATTCGGAAATCTACCGTTTAAATTTGTTATCATCACAAAAAATTTGATATTATTTTCAATACGTTTGTATTAAAATTTATTTGATACTTCCATGTATTGTTTAAAAATTAAATACAAAGAATGAGAAATCCCGGAAATTCGTAATTGTAATTTGATCCCTAAACCATAACAATTAACATCATTGGGTATCGGCACGTATTGGTAACCATAAATCATTCACCCACTCTTAAAATTTTATGTATATATGGTAAATATTATGACCTAAATTAAATTCTGATCTGATGTGAGTCGCCTTTGGTCCCATAAAATTTGAATTATGGGTGTTTGGAATAATACGACCTAATTATTTAAGGTCTTTAACTTTTAAACAGCGTTTCTGCGATTGCCATACCAATAATCACTCTAAATAGTTTCATTTTCATTCTTTCGTTAGTAAACATTTTAACATTTAAACCGCATATTTATAATAGAAGGCGATACTATTGGTTCTTACGTCACATATTTAAAGCATAAACGTGTTTTATTTATATAGGTAATAATGTTCTTTCGATAGTACTAATTTTGATCACATTGAAATCGAGTCGAATGAATTATCGCAAGCTAAAGTTCATTGTTAATGTAACTTTGTAACCTATTGGATTAAAAAAACCGAAAACCGGTTTTTGGGAAAACCGGTTTTTTTTGGCCGGTTATAACCGCCAGGTTAAACCGTAAGCAAAAAAAACCGGTTTAACCGAAAACCGGTGTTTTGCCAAAAACCGCCATCCCTAATGTTAATAGCTGAAAATTAAAAACATGCGTTTATAAATTATATACAGAATTCAACGCTCCAAAACCAAATGAAGTATAAACGACTAGATGCTATTGCGAAGAAAATCATGAAACAGAAGAAAAAGAAGACTTTTATTGATTTTTGCGAAAGCCTTAACTCAAGAACACCAATAAAAGAAATCATACTCTTACACCATCTTACATGCATGGAATCGGCTTATCAAATATTCCCAATTCTACTTATGGCAAAATTGACGATCTAACACATATTATATTATACTGTGATTTACAAATTAATATTATAAATGAATTTTGTAAGGAATTAATAAATTATAAGTGTTGTTTTCCAATAAACCTTAATATTTTAATATTTTCAAATAATATGGAAATTCTTCATTGCATTTACAAACATGTTAATATATGTAAATACAAGTTATAAATAGTATACAGGAATAATCTGTTAATATGGCTTGTAAAAAAAAATAAAAAAAGAGTATACCACAAATGAATAAAAAAAAACAAAAAAAAAAGTAAAAAACAAAAAAAATAGCAAAAATAAAAAAAAAACAAAAAAAAGCAACAAAACAAAAAACGAAGATAATAAAAGAATAAAAATGTATCAAAACAAAATTTATATATCCATAAAAATATTAGGTATATGTAGTAAGTACTAACATTGATAACTGATTTGAACAAGAAATTTTTGACCATGAATCTGCAATCAATAATATTTAAAATTCAGTCGATTTCGACAATAAACACAAACAAGTCTGACTAATTGGCTCTGCCAAAACCGTTTTTCAGAAAAAAAAAAAATAAAAATAACTTTACAAACTCTCATTTTAAGGA